CAGGATGTGCTCCAGTCTTTCCTCCTTCCCCGTCATCTGCTCCTGTGGAGGCACATAATTTTACCACAAAAACTGCATTAAAAATGTGCTGAAAAATTGGCTTATACACAAGTGCATACGGTAATTTGCATTTTCTATATATATATATATTATAGCTTAAAATCTGAGGTAGAGGCAAAATGTAAATACATTTAATATTGTATACCACTAAATTTAAATTAGTAAATTTAATACTGTATACTACTAAAACCTAGGTTCTCTTAACTGCTTTCCGAGTAGTAGTAAGTATTAGGCAGTAACTACCTTTTCATTGTGGCTTCCATTTTCTTCAGCATAGCTTTGTACCTACCTCGGGAGCCATCTTTGATATTTTATTAGCTTGATGTGGCATTCTTGTTTGTTTGTTTTTTAAAAGAAAAGTGGAAGAAGCATTATGGTTTAGAAATTTTAAAATTTAACAAATAGTCTTTTTAAATCCTGGGTGACTGATAAATGAGAAAAAACAATATAAGGATGTTATTTTGGTCTCACTTTGTGAGATGAAAAGTTAAAGGTCCTTGACTAATTCTGTATTTATAGAACAAATCTAAAAGCCTACTTTTTAATGCTTTATATCCATATTTTAAAGCAAAGTAATGAAAAAAAAAACATGCTATAAGGATTTTCAAATATTTTTTGAAACACTGAAGACTATTAGTAAGGAATTTTGTTATATAGGAACTTGGTCTAGAAAAATTTCTAGAGTGCTAAGTAATTTTATGCAACTTTCATACTTCTTCCTTGTTCATCTAATAGACATGTGAGGTTTAGTAGTCTGCGTAAATTGAGGTAGAGACTATTCTAGTGATTTGTCTGACTCATATAGGTGCCTTCTTATAGACTGGGCAATCGTTGATGCTGCTTTTTTGTCTATAATTTAATATTTATTAATCAGGATAAATACGCTCTCCACGAGGGGCCAAGTAGTTTTTTGTTTTTTTACAAATAGCGTGACAAATAGTAGTAAATATAAATAGGTTTATGGTTAACATTTCACTAATATAACTTCATTTTGTTATAGATGCATTCGAGTCAATAGATTTCAGAGGGTTGACCCTGATGTCCTGAAAGCTTGTGAGAACAGTTGCATCTTGTACAGTGACCTAGGCTTGCCAAAGGAGCTCACTCTCTGGGTGGACCCATGTGAGGTGTGCTGTCGGTGAGTTCTCAGATTTGGCAGCTGCAATGATTATTGTGCTAAAACCTACTATACATGAATTTTTCTCATATACTCCTTGCCTGTGTATCTTTTCAACTAAGAGGCTTGGCTTTGTTAGAAATGAATTTTATTAAGCATGTTTTTAGAAGTATTGGTGAAGGACTGTTCACATTTTTATTTTGTTGCTGAAGAAACTCAAATTTATTTTGCCCAAAAAAAATTATTGTAACAAGTAGAAGACAGACTTTTCCAGTGAGATAACATCTTATTTCATTGGTGGTATACATATCCCTTTTCCTATTATATTGGAAATACGCTAATTCCAAATAATACCAGATAATGAGTTTTGGCTGATTTCCGTCTCTGTTTCTTGACCCTCCCCCTTTTGTGGGGGTGTAGGGTTTAAGTCGCTGAGTAGTGTTTTCAGAAAAGGCATTATTTTTCTCATTTCCTAATGAGTATAAAGGATGAGTGCTAGATGCCAAGTCTATTTCAGGTCTATTAAAAAAATATTCATCATAGACCAGGAATTCTTAGTTATGGGGTTTTAAAAAAATGAAAGAGAAACACAACTACTTTCAGTAGTTTGACATGTAAAAGTGGCTGGGTGGGGTGGATACAGAATTCACAATTTAGTATGATTTATGCTATAATAGAAATACATATGAAATGGAGTAGTAGGTAATACCAAGGAGAACGGTACTGCTTCTACCAGAGGGGTGAGGACTTGGGTCAGGAAAGATGCTACTTACAGGTGGTAACTGAGCTGACTAGAAAATGAGAAGTTTGAGAAGTACATGCCAGGATGAACAGAGTCATGAAGAAATAAACCACTTTACACCTCTTGCCCCACCCTCCCCAGCACACACACACACACACACACACACACACACACAAAATATCCTACAGTTGTTTCTTCCTTTAGGGGCCCCTTGACTGTAATAAAGGATTTTTGGTGGGGTATTTGGTCATACATTGGGCTGTTAACCTGAAGGTCGATGGTTTGAAAGAATCAGCCCCTCTAGGAGAAAGGCCAGGCTTTCTGTTCTCTTAAAGAATTACAGTCTTGGAAACCCAGTAGGGCAATTCTGCCCTGTCTTATAGGGTCATTGTGAGTCAGAATTGATTTGATATCAGTGAGTTTGGTTTTGGTGGACTGTAGTAGAGATTCCTTTTGATGCACTGTTCCAGAGATGGTTACAGACTTTGACTTGAATTTCAATAATGAAGCCCTAGCTGAAGACACAGAGTCTCAAAAACTACATTCACACACTTAATTCTTCAGCAACACTCCTGTTTGATTTCCCTACTGTTGGTGTAAGCTCATTACTTTGATAAACCTGGAGTAAATAAAGGTTTTTGGAGATGAATATTCTTAACCAATTGTATCTCAGGTAGAAAAAGAAAAGGCAAACAATCTCAAGTTTAGATCTTAGAAAATCAAATATGTTTAGATTGTGACACTAATTAAAGATTTATTTAGGTAGAGAGCAGAATTTGCATTTTTCAGCTACTGAACTCCAGTCAAAGAATTTAACTGACAAGAAATAGAAATGACTATAACGTAGTTAACTATATTGTATTGCTTACTTTTTTATTAGGCCTGCACTTAGGTTCATTCAAAAACCACTGCCATTGAGTCAATTCCAGCTCACAGGGATTCTATATAAGGTTCTCAAGACTAAATTGTTTCAGGAGCAAATAGCCTATCTTTCTCTTGGGGAGAGGCTGGTTGGTTTGAACCTCTGACCTTACAGTTAGCAGCCCAAGAGTTACCCAGCAGTGCCACCAGAGCTTCTTATACTTAGATCTGTATTAACTCTCTAATGCAGTTATTTGTTAGCATACAATTTCTCAGACCATAAAATATAAGCAGCATTTGAAAAAGGGGTATTCATAGTAGTCATTAAGAAAAAAAATTTTTTTCTCTGTAGGGATGTTTAAGAAGCAAAGTAATTATATAAATATTTTGAGTGCATTTGTTTTAAATGCTTAAAATAAATATTGGCACCTGAGATAAAAGTTTTAGTTATATTGACATCCTACGTAAGTGGATATTACATTACTTGCTTAAAGAAGATAGTGGCAAATTACCATACTTTAATCTGCCTGTTGTTTTAAGGAATCTTTGTACTCAGTAGCCTTCTAGCAATTTTTGTTTATAATTAATATTTCCCAAAAAGTTAGTTGTGTTATGATTATTTCCCACAGGTAATATAAATCACTTTCAGAATATAGAGTGCTCCTTTAGTTATAACTGAATCCCCAAAAGAAAGAGTTGCTAGCAATGAGAAGTGATTGCCTAAGTTAATAGAGGAGATTGGTGGATTGTGAAAAGCTATTAGACCAAAACTTGGAGGATAAATATTCTGAAAAACCTGCTACAGTAATACAAACATTTGAAAGTGATAGGAAGATATTAGCTGTCTGGTGTACACTAGAGGCTAACTTGGGGTTACTTGTTTACTGAGATGTATTTATGGAGAACATTCTTCATAGTTTCATTTCATCAGAATAAATGGAAGGGTGTACAGTTAAGGGTGTTTATCACGTAGTTAAATATTTGGAGAATATAGAACAGAGTACAGATTTTTCCCATGATTAGGTCTGAGAATAGCTCATTGCTTCATTACATATTCCTTGACACCCCCCCAATACACACACACACACACACACACACACACACACACGCACACACACAGACTATTGGATACTACTTTTCAAATTGGCAAATGTTTTAGAAGTGTGTCATTGAAAATGAAAGTTGTTAGTTGTCCATTAACAGTTCTAAAGAACTGGCTGCACAATCCAATATTATGATAACATAGTCAGCGTCTTCACTTGGCATGAAGAAGACCCTCATATGAAAGCACTACCAAGAAAAGATGGAGAATTTATTTAAACCCACATGTCAAAGAGATTTGAACTAACGGGCGAGTGATGCTTCAATCATTAAATGTCTACCCTTGATTTAAGTTTCTATTCCTACAATGACAGGGTTATGTGAGGTTTTGTTTTTTTCTCTGAAATCCACCCACCTTTCTATTTTGCTTGAATTTTCACTCCATTAACATGCACAGCTGAAGTTAAAGCCTAAGCTTATGGTTTAACCATTGGTTGTATGGAGATTTGCAGAATCTCTCAACCTTGTAGAGCAGGGGTGGGGGACCATTTCTCTGCTATGGGCTTTTTGGAGATTTATAACACCATTCACAGGCCTTACAGGTTAAACATTTAATTAACTTGCCCTTAATGTGATGGCTAGGACTGTCTCTTTGGTGAGGCGTGTGATATTAGGTGGTGTTGATGATTTCATGGGCCTAACATGGGCCATGGCTTGGGCATTCCCCTACCCCGATGTAGAGGAAGAAAGAGTCAATACTCATTGTCAAAACCCTACACTAAGTAAACTTGGAATTATAGTGTATAAAATTTGTATTATAAGTAACTAACCCAGTTGTTCAGGTATCTTGTACTAAAAAGAACCTCCACCCCAAGACCAACAAGCTTCCAGCCCTCTATATACTGTATAGAAAACAGACCCAAAGAGATTTAATGGCTTTATTCCTGGTCATAGAGGTAGTTTATGGTAAAGTCAGACCCAGGTGCCAATCTAGTGATCTTCCACTATTCTGCAACACCTTCTTTTATGGTATAAAGTGAAAAAGACTAGAAAAGAGAACTATGTACCATATTGGGCAGCATTTATGACACCTTCCTACATCCTGGAAGTAGAAGACAGTATGATTATATAAAGAAATAGAACTCATCTAGGAGACTACTTGATTTCCACACAAATTTTCAAAAGCTTTTTTATAGCAGTCAGGCTATTTTATCATAGGTAATCATCCTGATTCAGAGATAATTTGAGATGAGTTATCTTGAGATGAAATTGACAGCAATAAACCCTATTTTTCTGGCAAATAGAAGGCTTGACATTTCTTAGTTACGTGTTTTTAAGTTTAGAATCACTCTGTGTCTAACTTTAATTATATGTTGTATAAGAACTACTTGACTAATTTCTTTTTTTTCTAGTATGCAGAAATTGTTCATAGTGCTCACATTGTGCAAGCTATTTAATAGTCCTGTGTGTTCCTCCTTTGTTCTCTGAATAAAAACTATTGTACATTATGCCCTTTTCCCCTCATCAAATGTATGTGGTGGGTTTTTCTGTTTTTGGTTGTTTTTTTTTTTAATGTAACCTGCAGTCTAGGTTATATATGTATTTTTAAATAACTTATTAAATCAAGTTTTCAGAATGTTTTGAAAGGATAAAGTGAGCAATTATCTTAAGAACCTTTATGAGATAGGTAATAAAAACTTAACCCAACTACTTTATCCCACGTAACAATAGTCTTTTTTCCTTTGACCTCAATAATTGCCGTAGTTCTCCTTTTTTTTTTTATGTAGATGAAGGAAACACAACCTATCTATTTAAATTTGGTTAAAGTAAATTTTATAAGAAATTCCTGCTTGATTTGTGATTTGAGTTACTACCATGTACATTCTCAAAACTCACTTGCATCAAGACAATTCCAACTCATAGCGACCCTATAAGACAGGGTATAACTGCCCCTGTGAATTTCTGAGCCTATAACTTTATGGGAGTAGAGAGCCCCTTCTTTCTCTTACGGAGCAGGTAATGATCTTAAATGGTTAACCACTCAGATCTCAGCCCAGTATGTAACAACTATGACATCAGAGTTCACTACAGGGGCTAGTGTATAATATGTTAGAAAATGTTACTTTGAAACCAGCATCAATAGTATTTACAAAAATATAATCAGAACAATGACTTTTTCTTAAATTATTATTTCTCATAGAAGACAGTAGAACATTTGAAAAGAGAATGGGTTATTCTTCTGGTAGCTAAATACAAGAGTAAGTAAAAAATACTTTTGCTACAAAATTATAGAAACATATTTAACAAAACATGAGGTCATTGTTTTTTGACATATTTTCCATCTATGTCTATATATTTGTTTCTATCTGTAACCTTTCTCCAAATAATTTTGCTCCTCTTCAAATAATTTTGCTCCTCTTCAACTGACACTGTGTCAAAACAGCAGCTTTGGCATTGTAGAGGGGCTCAAACAGTTGTTCTTTTAAAATGTTTTGTGAGTTTGGGAAACAAAAGGGGCAAGTTCAGAGCTGTAGGATACCTAGGGTAAGACTGCCCAACACATTCTCTAGGGGTAGCCCTTGCTGTTCGCTCTGAGCAGTGCAAGGTCACGGTGAGGGTGGGGTGGAGGCTGGTGCTCTGGAGGTTGGCGCTCGATTTTCTCTAGAAAACCTCATTGGCCATTTTCTCATGAATACAGTTTTGGGGTTTTTTTTGTTTCTTTGTTTGTTTTTCTTTTTTAACATTTTATTAGGGGCTCATACAACT